AAGGCACCCTGCAGCACTTCCTGAACATGGTCAGAGAGTACTGTCGATCAGTAGTCAAGGCTCCAGCCAACATCTGATCATAGCAAGCATTGAAGTTACAATTAGGTTTTAAACTAATCTAGAAATCGCTCGCTCTTTTCTCGACGAACGATGCCGTAAAACAACTTGGCAACAACTTGACATAAATCATACTTGTGGCTATTGGCCAATTTGGACGTCCTGGGTGGCATAGTTGTTAGAACAGTCACCGTGACACGCATGACATGCCTCTGCTGCACTTCATAGTGCTAGAATTACCCACGCGATAAAAGAGTCCGTGCTGGTGCAGTGCTTGACGTGATCAACTGCTCCCCTAGAAGTTAATATGGGGAGTTGTCTGTTGCGGTAATGTATATAGAGGACGCGGGTCTCGGCTGCTGATTCAAAGGTCGTGGGTTGGATCCAAGCCTTGACTTTTAGTATTGGTATGCTCTGAAGATTCACAATGCAACACCATGATATGATTATGAGATACGCCACTGGTATGAGGTAAGGCCAGAGGGCTCCAAAAATTTTGAGCATCTTGTGTTTTGACATCGCACAGCACAGTATACTGGCCCTAGCATGTCACCTCCACTGAAATTCGGCCCCCCTAGGCCAGGGTGGAAACCACGGCTTTTGTATCAACAACCGAGCACCGCAACTGCTATGCCACCGCGGCACATGATTCCCCCGAAGGTCGTGTGGTCGAATCCCGGCTGCTGCGGCCACAATTTCATGAAAGCAAATGCTAGGAGCCCGTGTACGCAGGCCTACCAGTGTACGTCAAGCAACACCTAGTGGCCACCGAAATTGCTGGAGTGCCCCATATACAACATTTTGTTGTTATGAGACACATACAGTATTACTCCAATGCTGTCGTGATCATACTAAAAGCAAGAAAAACGCAATGCCTTGTCAATCCTCCCCGCCCCTGCACTTACAATTTCTGCTTCTTTAAATAAACAAAAGAAAAATTCAGGCAATGCTTGTGAGTTTCGAAGAATGTGAAGATGAAAGCGTACTTGGACTTTTTTGCTTTCTTCTTTCTTCTGATATGCTTTCTTCTGATATGCTTAAGTTTATGATGAACGACAACTACTACTGGAGATCCCGGCTGTGGCGGCTGCATTTCCGATGGAGGCGGAAATGTTGTAGGCCCGTGTACTCAGATTTGGGTGCACGTTAAAGAACCCCAGGTGGTCGAAATTTCCGGAGCCCTTCACTACGGCGTCTCTCATAATCATGAAGTGGTTTTGGGACGTTAAACCCCACATATCAATCAATCAACTACTACTGGAGCCACCTGTGTGTATATGACACGTTACAGTTGGGGGGTAAGTACAAGTGATACAATATGCGTCAAGTTACTTCACAGATCATGAAGTAATGCTTGTGGAGGTGCATAGAGAACAATCATTCAGAGTGATTGGAATGTGTGTGTTCATTGTGCTGGGAATCAAGAGAACAGCGATATGCTTGCTTGAAGTGCATGTGGAACATACGTGCTGTGCTGATTGAAGAATGCGCTCGGAGAGAGGGATCTGAAGCAGCGTGAAGAAAAGACGCAGTAAAACAGTACAGTTGGTGTGACCTGTTGTAATTAAAGCCCAATGATTCCATACTTTTTAAATAAAATGTGCTTTCGCCGATGCAAGTAGGAACCACTCGCAACTTCAAACAAAGTTTTTTCAATGTGTACGTGCATCATGTTTCATGTTCGTAATTTTGATACAGCAGACGCTGGCAGGAGACAAAGAAATGATACTTCGAAGAACTCCAATCATCATAGCACTCCAGAAATATCAGCACAGCATATAAGGTCGTCAAATAGGAGTTTCTCAGAAACTTAAACGAAAGTTTATCGAGTCTCAATATAAAATCTGACAGAAAGAAGACCACAAAGTTAGATACACCAGCACTGTGTTTAACATGAACTTCAACGCTTCAATAGAACAGCGTTCATCTTGAAGATAACCAAAAAAGCATAATGCTATGTAGAACATCTACAGATGGTACAAGTAGTCTTTTGTCTTCGCATTTGCAGAATGGGAAAAATTACTCCTTGAATTTCATATTCATGGGCATTTACAACAGCTTGGAATCTAAGCACGTTGGATGAGTCCAAAAGAAGATCATCGGGGAGTGTACTACGCCATATAGGCTGACATTTAAAGTGAATCTTTTGTGAAAATACTCCTCGCGCTTTTTTCCTTGTGTGTGACGTCAAACGCGTGACTTTAAACAGAAAGCGTACTGGCCGTAACTGTGACTAATGAGAGTTTCCGCTCAATGCACTCTGGTTCAAACTCCGCGCAGTTGAATCGCTATCACTGTGTGATCACCGAACGTACTGCGTGGCGAGACATGTTGAGGTGCCACGTCAATACAATCGTCTTTAAGTGTGATTCATGGAGCTCCATCCAGTATTGGTCATCCGTCGATGCATAGAGATAATCACATGACCGTATCTGTATGTCGTGCCATTTGCATATTTAATATGGTTATGCGAGTCTTGCAGAATTGTTGTGTTGAACCGTGTTAGGAGTGGTTCATTGAACATTCAAACAGTCGTGTCCACTCAAAAAGGTAATCGTTTAATGAAAAAAACATAAAAGAGCATGCTGCCTACTGGGAAAGGGGGATTTGCTAATGGACAGACAAGCAATTTTCATGCCACCTGTTCTCTTCAATGCAGTGGAAAGCAGAAAACCAACTGTGGCAATTTGTGCAGGTCAGTGGATCTGAATAAAAGTCGCTAGGCATGTTTCTTTCCCACTCGCCACAGTGGTGAAGTTGTGGTGATGCTCGACTGCTGACCTGCTGATCACGGAATCTAATTACGGCCTGGCGGCCGCACAAATGCTTGAGGCGCGTGTACTTATGGCGCACGTTAAACAACTCCAGTTGACCAGAATTTACAGATCTCTCTACTATGGCGTCTCTCATATCCATATGGTGGTTTTGAGACGTTCGGCCTCAACAATTAAAATTAAAGTTATTTGAATTGCACGATTCTCTCATTATGTTCGATTACAGGCTACAGAGGTGCGTTCCTCACACGTAAGTTTTATTGACTGCCCACACTGACCCAGCTCGTTTCCCACAGTTATAGGGCAATATTGAATATATGACGTCATTTTCGTTCACTTTTTTCTCTGCATTTACATGATATTTACTTCTAATAAAGTCCCCTATATGTAATTTTCCTGGCGATTGATTGATTGATATGTGGGTTTAACGGTCCCAAAACCACCATATGCTTATGAGACGCCGTAGGGAGGGCTCCGGAAATTTCGACCAACCTGGGGTTCTTTAACGTGCACCCAGATCTGAGCACATGGGCCTACACCATTTCCGCCTCCATGGGAAATGCAGCCGCCGCAGCCGGGATTTGAACCCGCGACCTGTGGGTCAGCAGCCGAGTACCTTAGCCACATGGACCACCGTGGCGAGGCAATTCTCCTGGCGCCATTGTGGGTTAGTTCTCATAAATAGTTCAAAACATATTTGATATCAGGATTATACAAAAATGATGTTAGTACTGTTGGCTACCACCCTATCCGTATACTCTCTCAGTGACAGTTTCAGGGTTTGGGCGGGTCTTTTCTCAGAACATGTAGTTAATAGCTTTCTGGACTGAATTAGAACATGGCTCGACAAGGGCTCATTACCCGGTTCGGCCTTCAATATTATTACATGGGCTTTTGAGAATATTAACTTCCAAAATATGTATCGTAAGTTACCAAGTAATGACATTACAAAGAAGCTTTTGTAACTTCCTAATAATAATGTTTCAAACAATTACAAGAGTGTTTCCATTAATGGCACCCTTTCTCATCAAAGGACCACTCTCTAGAATTCCCAGGTGCCAATTCTTGGTGCACTCTTGATCTGCACGCTAAGTAATGATCATTCCAGTAATTTTTACGATATCATACGTTTCCTTCGCGTTGATAAACCTCAAACACTTATAGTCCTCAGCTACGCCGAACATCAGATGAAAAGTCGTGTAATAAAAGTACATGAGCATACACTTGCCAACTGTCAAGGACCTGTGACACGTCCTCTAGATATACAGAAAATGAACGTTTATATTAAATAGATAGATATGTGAGGTTTACGTCCCGAAACCGCCATATGAATATGACAGACGTCGTAGTGGAGGGCTCCGGAAGTTTCGACCCCCTGGGGTTCTTGAACGTGCACCCAAATCAGAGCACACGGGCCTACATTTCCGCCTCCATCGGAAATGCAGCCGCCGCAGCCAGAATTCAATCCCGGGAACTGAGGGACAGCAGCCGAGTATTGAAAGAGATAATGAACGTTTAAATTAAGCAAGTTGACCAGGGTGCTAAGTTTTCAGGGGTCATTGTGGTTGCGAATATAAATATGGTGCTCACATTGATTCAGCAGTTAAAGAACTCACTGTGACGTAAGATCGGATTCAAACTCGTCCATATTTTGAGCATCGCTAAACTTGTCGCATTTCTTCCTTTACCATGCTTTTTCTCAGTACGTGCTGTAAATATTCTATAGCTGCTTGGCGAAACGCTTTGTGTACCCATGAGTTGCATTATTAGTATGTAGTGTACAGAATAAAGCTGACTCCTTTCAATAGACACCGATAACCCCGGCGTTCAGCTGAAGGAGTCTGCTGAACGCCAATGCTTTCCACCTTAGTTACCACTGATTTCCCTTCGCACTCCAACTTATTGTCTACTCGTTCAAGCAAATTTTAATACTTTTGAGAGTGCATTTCGGTATTAATCGTGGCACTAAATATAACTCTGACGTGTGCAGTCAATACTTGCGTCAAGCTGTGCCAGTGTTTTGTCTGCTTGACTGTCTCACACACAAGGGGCTCCTTTATTTTTTCTTTATTTTTGTTGCACTTCGTCGAGCATGAGTTTGTACCCGTGCCTCCATCGGTGATCGCAACTACCGAACTACAAACGCATTGAAGAGTTGTCCTTGTTTTCTTAGGCGCGAGGAATGACGCCAAAGAGCTTCAGACACTTCTTCTCGCAGGCATCGAAGGTGAGAAAGTTGTTGGCGTTGCCTCCGCATCCTCCGTAAATGAACTGCTCGCATTTTTTCATCTCGGTGTTGTAGAAGAAACGAGGCATGTACGCCTTGCAGGGTCCCGAGTCGGCCGGGTAAGTACACACTTCAGGCGGCGTGACTGTGGAAGAACATTGTGATGGTATGTAGCGCGTAGTTTGAGTCAAAAATGGGTCGCGGTGCCTTAAGCTGAGAGGAAAACATTCTCAGCAAGGTGTCTCGCGTTGCAGCTTCAACAACGACGGCCGTGTATTGAATGAGGTGAAGTGCAAGAACGAAAACGGACATAACACCAATGAGAAAGGCCCAGTGTCTCCACGCAGTAAATATTGTTTTCTGGAGTTCGCTTCTACAATATCCATCCAGGGGGCGTTAAACCAATTAATTTATATGATGTTTCCCTGCGCGAGCTGAAGAAAAAGAATGTCTCGAGAGATATGTTCGACAATCCCCAAAATAAATCAAAAGCTATTATCACGCTTTCTGACACTTTTTTTCAAACGTTTAGATGAGTCGAAGCATTTACTGCGACAGTGATTCAAAAATTAAGATTAACGTTTTCAGCTAGATGCGACAGCAGGTAGGGTAAAGTGGAAAATAAATGCAGCCTTTTGTGCGAAAAGCTATAGTTGCCGTTTTCAGAATTGGCGAAAGCAGCTGCTGGCAATTACTATCAATTAAGAACTGTCATACTCTTACGAGACGCCCGGAAGGAACAAGGGTCGTTGTACCAATTATCGATCGACTTCGCTTCGTGGTTGCAGGGGTTTCGTTTGAAATTAGAGCACGCATGACCCACGAGTGTTAACGCATGCAGAAAAACTAACACCACGACAATCGACATCGTGAACAGGGTCGTCATTCTGAATGTCGGCTAGTAGCGCTCTTCGGACTGTATATGTTTCGGTATCGCCGATGAATTTGGTTGAATGGTTTAGCTTCGCCACTGTGCAATAATTACCGGAGACCAATTTTTAAATATATCAAAGGTATGCAATTGCCTCGTCTCATTAAAGACAGCAATTCTACAATTAGACCCAACCGCTCATCTTCATTAATTAAAAAGAGGCTTTCTTGAGTTACTGCCGCAATTTTTGTTTACTGTATCAAGATGTATCTGATTCCAAATAATGGGTTGCTGCGAATACAGCGATTAAATTTCTCATTTGCCCTATTTCTGATGATTTCGCACAGCTTTAAACACTCTGTATAGCAGCTACATGTAAGATATACCGTCATTTTTTTAAGATGGCGAAACAAAGCGTTGCTGCTACGAGCCGCGCAGCTATCGTATTATTTGGTTGTAACTGCGACTTGACCATCCGGTGGAACTATACAAAAAACAGCAATACACTTCAGTAGAGTTGGTTGTAGTTGATATAAAGGTCAAATGCATGGCCTACGAAACGTACGTCGGTAATTCAGGAGGGCAATATAAAAAAAACACGGAAAAAATGCTGAGAGGTGAGACTATTCCGGCTTCTTCGGTTGTCGTCTATATTTATTCACGATTTCTTTCAAAGTTCAACTGAATCAATGAGCCTAAACCAAGGCTTTGCTGAAACGCGGTATATATACGTACATTCCATGATTTAGAATGCTACTCCCTTCGAAGAGGTAGTTTGAATTGTCTGTACGTATTGCCCCAAGCGATATTACGCCTAGCTTGTTGAGCCAACACCATAAAATATCCGAACACCCAGACTTGAAGCTGGCATTATCATAGGAGGAAAGAGCGAAGGCAAAGTACTGGCTTTTCATTATTAGTGGTGTTCACTTTGGCAGCATTTTAAACACTATAGCTTTCACGCTCAACACATCAGATAAGTTCGGGTTCTCGTGTGCGCGAAGGTCTGATTCTGAGCGATACAACTGGGAAAAAAATTTTCCCACCAGTTAAGTGCAATCACATCGCTAGGAGTACTTCCCAAATCGGGCAAAGCTTGCTCTTTTTTGTATCAGAATATCAGTGAATTTCTCACAATGAACAGACTAAATTTCCTCGCGAAAAGAATGTTAAGGCGTTAAAGTGTGCAAACTACACACAAGGCATGTGAATCGTGGAAATTAGGGTAAGAGGTAGCAGAAAGGTGTCAAAAGTAATACAATACAAGTTCTTATATTTTCTTCCAGAGCTGAGAAGCTCGAGTGAGCAGAACAAACCAGTATCTGTGTCATTAAATTAGTACTTACAGGGCCAGAACGGAACTTTGGAGGCACCGAGGAACTTCACTGAGTGCTGGCCCAGGGAGGCTGCGTGTACGTCGCAAGAACAGTTGTAAGCAACTTCTGCATTTAATGAACTGCCCAGTAGTGTTGCTAAACTGCAATACACTTTCCCGTCTGTGTCCCTGCGGTACAATAAATTAGTGGCTTGTCATACGACTCCGTCCAACGCGCCTGCTTTTTTGCCGTTATTATATTTGCTGTGCCGCGAGTGTATAGCATCAGGTTTGCCGCTTCGCGATTCCCCTAGTAAAAAAAAAGTGCCCCTCAGTGGCACTTTTTTTGTCAGCAAAAAAAAGCCCTAAAAGGATCATCAGCTTTCTACGAGACTACGCCATACAGAGAAATTTACTGTCTAACAAACGAATCACGGTGCCTTAGAACTCACAAAAAAAGTTTAAACACTAGTCAGTATGAAGAAGCACTTTATAAAATTCAGATCTCCGATTCACATGCATGCATAAATATGCGGCACAGAGCTGCGAATGAGGAAACGGAAAGAGCGTAACGAGACACTAATTATGAGCAAAGATATGCAGTCGCGCGCGCAGATAGCAGGACGATGTCGGGAGGCTTGGAGGTCGTTCGTTTCGATAGAATTTCAGCAAGTTAGCATGCGCCTGATGCGTGTCCGCGTTACCTTGCCTTACAAATGTGGTGTAGCTATGAGCTTCAAGTGGCGAGCAGTGAGCGTTGTTTGCCAGGAGCATAGCCGGCATTTCCAGGGGCATGCATAGCCAGAAACACAGTTGTCGATTCATGCGTCCCAGCAAAACATGAGTACACGTGACAGTTACTTACCCCAGCACGTGTTCTGACATTCGTCGAGAGTCACGAAGTTGTTGCCAGTTGGCGTGGCATCCTCCGAAGACAAACTTTTCACAAGTCTTGGTCACGTTGTCAAAGTAATAGCGACGGGAAGTAGCCAGCACCGGGACCGGAATACCTTGGTCTCGTTGCACACCGGGTTCAGTCCCACTGCGTCAGGCCAGCTTTTGTAAGCTTGACAAATGCGAGATACTCTGTGTGCATTCTCTTCGAAAGTGATACAGTGCATGTCCTGCATGCTTATCATTCGTCTGTATGTAAGAGTTGCACATTCCTCGATATGAATTTAAGTGCATGTCTGACTGTGCGATAAAGCAGAGGTGGTACTTGTGTGTGTGGTTTGTTCTGGTGCAGAATAGCACGAAGCTCAATCATTATTGAAAATTACTGAATTTAACAAGGTATATATATCGTAGAGACACGATATAGATAGAAATAGTGAGTTACCGAAGAACAACCCTCTATGTCTCCTGTTTTCAAGTCGCACAAACTCGGCCTCTACGGGCGTTCGTTAGCTAAGTATACTTACTTAAAACATCAGAAATTCATGTTCTGCTCGTACAATATCGAGGTAGCTGATCTAAGCTATACTCAGACGAGTATTTCGGCACTTTGCACTAGCCTTAAAGCCCGTTTAGTTCGCGTTCTGAAAGCTGACTGTTTAAGAACACCGAATAATTCCTGGGGATTGGCGAGTCTCTACTTGTTTATAGTAATGTTTATTAAAATAGTGAATACAGGCACAATGTGTGCTAAGTTGGAGACTAATGTCTCATGGAAAGATGTGTATAGGTAATCAACAGAGCTACGCAGGACAATTCTGGCCAGTGCCAGGTCACTTGATTGATTCGCTGTCTTAATGCGTACTTTCAACTTATGGGCCACATGCGTGTGAAGCATGAGTATTGCAACGACGATTTGCAAGTGCTGTGTGGTGCACACAAATACCACATGAAGAAGTTCCCTGGAGAGGATCGGGTTGGCACAATGAAGTCTCTCGGAGTAACTGCAGCCAGGCAAATTTCACGTTTCAAATAAATCATTTACTGATAACGAGCTTGGATTTCATATTATGCATGCGCGTAAAACATAGTAATGATTTCGCGAGAAAACCAACGGAGGGATTTGAATTGAATTTAATGATATTTAAAACGTTATGTTCATTTGGTTGTGTGCTGAATTGATCGTTATAGGTATAAAATCTAAAAAAAAACCTTTCGCTACATAACGTACTAAAAGCTGACGCAGGAACCTCCCAGACCCGTACTTTATTCCGCAGGAAAAAAATGAATTAACGGGGCTCAGTAAAATGTATTTTCACGCATGTAAACCGTGTGCATATATTAATGTTATATTAGTGAAATAAGTACTAGTTTCACGAGTCGGCTTTTTAATTGTTGATGGTCAGGTATTCGCGCCTCCATGATGACATGGAAGAAGTGAGAGATTTTGTGCATCATAAATGCACTTATCAATAAGCTTGCGTAATTGAGAATTGTTTTTATTTTTCACTTTGTAGTAAACTGCATAAAGTAAAACCTCCTAATTCAGTTTTCATGGAATTCCCCCGCCCCTCTTCGCCCTCCGCAGAAAACAACGTCTGAATTAACGAAATCCCGAAATATTTAGAACCATCCTGATGATGATATGTGGAGTCTAGCGTCCTAAAACCACCTATACGATTTTGAGAGATGCCATAGCTGGAGGGTTCTGAAAATATCGACCGCCTAGGCTTCTTTAACGGGTACCCAAATCTCAGCACACGGGCCTACAGTATTTTCGCCTCCATCGAAAATGCAGCTGCCGCAGCCGGGATTCGATCATGCGACCTAGCTTCGGGTCAGCAGTCGAGTACCTTAGCCACTAAATACACCATGGCGGGGCTATTTGAACTACATAAAACGATAACAAGTTTAGACTGATGCATTTAGACACTGTATTTTAGTACGTAAATCCTGTACCTATTTTGCATAAACTTCTGACATTCGCGCCTTCTTCCACAATGCAACCGACGAGGAAGAACTCTGTTTTAATAATAATTATGGGGTTCAACGTCAAGAACCCACCATATGATTATGAGGGACGCAAGTATCATGTCTTATTTAGCCCGTAACGCTTTGTGCACAGTTTCCTTATTTCATACACCTCCCAGCGCCGGCCATGGTACTACTCCCACCGCTTAAATAGCAGGCAACTGATAATGCGTTCATCTCGACGTACCAAACGAGATTTATGTGAGCACGTGAACCCCGGCTGAGAGCTCATCATCTTCAACAGCTTGCGCACTGTCTGCGTTTCTTGACATTGGGCGTGCATATACCAGCCAGCCGAAACGAAACTATACGGTGTGCCCCTTCCCGTAGGACGAAACGGTCCTCGCTTACGACGTAGTCACAGGCAGCGTCCACGTGGTGGCGGTGCCTGCAAACACGAGAAAAAAACCAAACTGACCAAACGACCCAACGCAGTAACGGCTGCAGTATGAACCTTTTTCGCTAATGCACAATCACGAATGGCGACTACACAATTTTGAAGGCACTCAGCGAAATCGCAACTACTGCTTGGCACAGCCGCCGCGGTCGATACTTCGTACGGACGCGATTGTAGATAGTGCTCACTCATTCCACGTGCTCCGAGTTATAGCCGTAAACTAAATGAACTTGCCGCCGCCGATGAAGCATCATCTGCCAACAATGTGATTGTGGATGGCCACCACACTTTTCTGAAAGCCCGCGGCCTACGCGTTGTCGCACGTGATTGCAAATGCACAGATGGAGCGCGTTGCGGCTTTTCTATCGTTATCGCGCTATTCGAACAAATTACCACGGCGATCCACGGTGCACCCTCTGGTTTCTATGTTCGTGAAGCCGTTTCAGCTTTTTTGCGTCACAAGCTTGCTGTCGTGCGTGTTCGGAGTGTCACTCAGTTTAACCAATTGATTGATTGGTATGTGAGGTTTAATGTCTCAAAATCGCCATGTGATTATAGTGGAGGTCTCCGGAAATTTCGACCACCCGGGGTAATTTAACGTGCAACCAAATCTGAGCACACGGGCCTACAGTATTTCCGCCTCCATCGAAAATGCAGCCGCCGCCACCGGGATTCAATACCGCGACCTGCGGGTCAGCAGTCGAGTACCTTAGCCACTAGACCACCACGGCGGGGTGGAGCTGCACTTTGCCCAGCACATCTTGCATGTTTCGAAGTTATTGGCATTTGACTCACATTGTAGAAGTGCTGTTCGCGGTCACCTGTGGCACTGTTGGGAGGAACAGGAAGTTTGCGCGGACCGGGTCTCCTCGGCAGCTCCAGAATCCAGACAGGATCCAGAGAAGCTGTAAATATAAAAAGCTGTGGCATTTTTTATCTTCGGCTAATAATAATAATAATAATAATAATAATAATAATAATAATAATAATAATAATAATAATAATAATAATAATAATAATAATAATAATAATAATAATAATGGGATGATGTTTATTCGAACAGACGAGTCGCAACGAGGTCGCGACAGAAAATGGGTGAACAGCAAGTCTGGCAAAGGCGGCACGGGTTCTCGCGCATTCAGAGCACGGGCTTTTCGTTGTCTTCCGAAGGCGCATACGCGTTGGTGCGTAATCTCCTTTACAATACCCCCGGGGTGAAGGGTAGCCATCCTGGTGACTCAGGGAGTAGGCACAATGAGGGGGTCGTAGTAGGGCTTGAGACGGTCGACGTGTACGGTCTCGCGTCCTCGACGGCGGAAATCTGGTGATTGTGTTAATGGCTTGATGATGTAATTCACCGGGGAGGTCGCGTCAATGACACGGTAGGGACCATGGTATCGGGCCAGAAGTTTAGAAGACAGGCCAGGAACGTGCGGGGGCACCCAAAGCCACACAAGGGAGCCAGCACGAAATGTAGGAGCTATGCGGTGAGCGTCGTCGTGTCGAGTCTTTTGTAGACCTTGAGCCTCACTTGTCAGAGACCGAGCCAACTGACGGCAGTCTTCAGCGTATCTGGCGACTTCCGAAAGCGGGGAGCACTCAGATGCATCAGGGTGGTACGGTAGTATAGTGTCGAGTGGGTGGGAAGGTTCGCGGCCGTACAATAGAAAGAACGGGGAAAAACCGGTAGTCGCTTGCGTCGCGGTGTTATAAGCGAAGGTAACAAAGGGCAATACAGCGTCCCAGTTAGTGTGGTCAGAGGAGGTGTACATCGTCAGCATGTCGCCAAGTGTGCGGTTGAACCGCTCAGTAAGACCATTTGTCTGTGGATGGTATGCGGTAGATTTCCGGTGGATAATGTTGCATTCAGCGAGGATAGCTTGGATAACCTCCGACAGGAACACTCGACCCCTATCACTGAGTAATTCCCGCGGAGCACCATGGCGTAGAATGAAGCTGCGGAGAATGAAGAGTGCAACTTCGTGGGCGGTCGCTGCCGGTAGAGCTGCAGTCTCAGCGTAGCGTGTCAGAAGATCGACTCCGACAATAATCCACCGGTTTCCAGAGGTACTATATGGGAGGGGGTCATAAAGGTCTATACCCACGCAGTCGAATGGGCGAGCCGGGCACGGGAGCGGCTGTAACATGCCAGTAAGGTGCCGCGGAGGTGTCTTGTTCTGTTGGCAAGTGGTGCAAGACTGAACGTATTTCTGCAAAAAGCGATACATTCCTCGCCAGTAATAGCGTTGGCGCAGCCTTTCGTAGGTTTTCAGGACACCTGCGTGAGCACTTTGGGGATCTGCATGGAAATTCATGCAGATGTCAGAGCGCATATGAGTTGGGACAGCAAGGAGCCACTTCCGACCACCAGGCATGTAGTTGCGGCGGTACAGGATGTTGTCTCGTAAAGAAAAGTGGGCTGCTTGCCCGCGTAGTGCTCTCGTGGAAGGGACAGCAGACGAATCGGTAAGGTAGTCGACTAACAAGGCAAGGTATGGGTCTTTACGCTAATCCGAAAGCATGTCAGTCGTGTCGAGTGGTGACAAGGTGGTGAAAGGGGGAGACAGAGAAGCCACATCTGGTGTTAATGGCGATCGCGAAAGTGCATCGGCATCCGCATGCTTGCGACCGGAACGATATATGACACGGACGTCGTATTCCTGCAATCGAAGTGCCCAACGCCCCAGGCGTCCGGGCGGGTCTTTCAATGTGGACAGCCAACATAGAGCGTGGTGGTCTGTGACCACGTCGAAAGGACGGCCGTAAAGATACGGGCGAAACTTCGTCAATGCCCAGATTATGGCCAAACACTCCTTCTCTGTCACGGAGTAATTCAATTCAGCCTTCTTGAGAGCGCGACTTGCATAGGCGACTATGTATTCAGCTTGGGTGCCTTTCCGTTGTGCCAAAACTGCACCAAGACCGATGCCACTTGCATCGGTGTGAATTTCTGTGGCCGCAGCAGGGTCGAAGTGACGAAGAATAGGTGGTAAGGTCAGCAGGCGGCACAGCTGGCGAAATGCGTCGTCACAAGCAGGTGACCATGCAAATATGCCTTTGCTGTTGGAAAGCAGACTCGTGAGAGGTGCGATGATGGACGCGAAGTTGCGCACGAAGCGACGAAAGTAGGAACAGAGACCGACGAAACTTCTTAGGGCTTTCAGTGATGTGGGCAACGGAAAGTCAGCGACAGCTCGAAGCTTATCGGGATCCGGAAGAACACCGTCTCTTGTGATGACATGCCCAAGATGGTTAGTTTTCGTGCTAAGTTAAGTTGTAGGCCTGCAGAAGTTAGACACGTCAGAATCTCGTGGAGGCGAGCAAGATGTGTCGGGAAATCAGATGAAAGGACTACGAGGTCGTCCAGGTAACATAAGCAGGTTTTCCACTTGTGGGCACGCAAGATGGTGTCGATCATGCGTTCAAATGTGGCAGGCGCGTTGCAGAGTCCAAATGGCATGACTTTGAACTCATATAGGCCATCCGGCGTTACAAAGGCTGTTTTAGGGCGATCACATTCAGCCATTGGCACCTGCCAATACCCACAACGCAGATCCAAAGATGTAAAGTACTCGGCGCCTTGTAAACAGTCAAGAGCATCGTCTATTCGTGGTAGCGGGTAGACATCTTTTTTCATAATATTGTTTAAGCGGTGATTGTCCACGCAAAATCGTACGGTGCCATCTTTTTTCTTGACCAGAACCACAGGTGATGACCAAGCGCTTTGAGAAGGCTGTATTACTCCACGTTTAAGCATGTCATCTACTTGCTCCGTAATGACGCGGCGCTCTTCGGCGGTCATGGTGCGGCCCAAAGCAGGTTCTTGAAAGTCGAAAGACGAACTAAACTTGTTAAGGAGAGCAACAAGTTGGCGGCGATGCGAGAGGGGAAGGTCTGCGTCAATAGCATTGTCGAAGGCTGACGAACTTGATGGCTCAGACGCATGAGTGATTGCAGCAATGTGACATGGCGTTTCGTCGGGAAGAATAATATCATCGACATGGTCGACAGGTTGCACATATCCTAACGTTTCACCACGAAATAAGCCAATGGGGTAGTTGCAGTGGTTGGTGACCAGCATTACGGTTAAACCAGATGCACTTGTAAGAACAGCAAATGGGAGAACGATGCCCTTGCTTTCAGTAAAAACCGGAGATGGCGTAAACACCACCATGCCGTCAGGTTGCTCCACACATAAAAGGCTAATAGGGACCGAAGCTTCAGGAGGCAAGGTGATGTCGTCGTCAGCGATGAGTTTGCAGAGCAGAGGAGAGCGGTCGGGTGGTGGAAATTCACATAATGGCACAAGGGACACTTCGGCACGGGAACAATCGATGATAGCTTCATGACGTGATAAGAAATCCCAACCCAGGATAAGGTCATGAGAGCAAGATGGTAGAACAAAAAACTGTACGACGTAGGAAACGTCTCGGATGACGACACGCGCCGTACACACAGCCGAGCGTTGTGCGCTAGCCGTGGACAGCACCAAGCCACTGAGAGATGTGGTCACTTTCTTCAGTTTTCTACAAAATTTTGCGTTCATCACAGAAACGGCGGCCCCGGTATCAATTAACGCTAATGTGGTGACTTCCTCAACATCGACGTCAACAACATTTTGCGGCGAAAATGGAGGCCTTGGGAATTACGCACAAGGTGCAGTTCTTGCCTCCGGAACTGCACTGATTAGTTTCCCTCCTCAGGAGGTGGTCGACGACGCATAGGCGATGGCGATCGGCGACGAGGTGATGGAAAACGAGCGGTCGATTGGTGGCGATCCGAGTTGGAGTGCCTCCGTTCATATGCAGACGTGGTGGTCTGCTGCGGTGCGTAGGTAGGAGCTCCGAAGTATGCGTGCGCATGTGTGGGACGGAGGCGGCAGAAGCGTGCAATGTGTCCAGCGATGCCACACGCGAAGCAGATGGGACGATTGTCTCGGGTGCGCCACTCATTAGATGGACGAAAAAAGTGAGGTGGGGGCCTGTAAACTGGAGGCGAGGCCGGAGGAGGTGAAGTCGATAAGGCGACTGGATGCGGTGGGGGCCGCGCGACCACAGCTGCGTAGCTGAGAGGTGAAGGCGGCGCAGTTGGTGCGTAGCCAGCAGTTGAGAGATCAGATCTCACCGAAGTGCATGGGTAAGAGGCCGGAACTGTAGGGAGGGCATTGCAAATTTCAGTGCGTATGGCCTGCTGCATATTAGAAGGGAGGCTTGTCGTGGGCGTGTCGCTATGCGGCAGCAGGGATAGCTGTCGGGCGACTTCCTCCCTGATGAAGTCTTTAATATGGTTCGACAGAGTTTCTTGTTGAACATTGCCATTTGCGAGTGCGACGGCCGAGATCGAATCTGGTGATGGGACACTCTGTCGGGTGATGGAACGCTGACAATTCATTGAAGATCTGGCACAGGCTTACGAGGACTGCCACCGTGGTCGGGCTTTTCGCCAGCAACATCTGGAATGCGCCATCCTCGATGCCTTTGAGAATATGTCGATTTTTTTCTTCTTCAGGCATGGATGAGTTAACACGCCTGCAGAGGTCGAGTACATCCTCAATATAGCTAGTAAAAGTCTCGCCAGGTTGTTGGGCTCGGTGGCGCAGACGCTGGTCAGCGCGGAGCTTGCGGACCTCTGGTCGGCCGAACGCTTCGGTCACGAGGGTCTTAAAGGTGGACCAGCTGGCGATGGCGGTTTCGCGGTCGGTGAACCATAGCTTGGCGACGTCAGCTAAGTAAAATATAACATAGGCAAGCTTAGAGTCATTGTCCCATTTGTTGCTGGCACTCACGCGTTCGTACAAGGAGAGCCAGTCTTCGACGTCTTGCTCACCACTGCCGCTGAAGATTGGTGGGTCCCGCTGACGAGTAGCACCGGGGCAGGTCGACGGGGCAGCCGATGGTGCTGGCTG